GAAGGATAGAAAAACCTTGTATGTATAACTTGGCATATTTATCTGAATATTTCCTTTGGGTAAATTTCTAGGAGTTTGCAAGTGACTTTTTGGTTTAATTTCTTTTTTGTCCTTTTTTCTCATAATTTAGTATTTGGCTTTGAAATCCTTTTTGTGTTGCTAATTTTGGAACATATTTAAATATATTTGATGAACAATGTAAAATCAATGGGATGGGCATATATATTGTTTGTAAGATATCAATTTACCATTGTCTGATACACCTTTAATCGATTCTTTTCCCCAGGTAAGGAAGCCAAAAACATTAGTCTGCAATCCTTCAGGTTGTCTTCTCCCTAAGGGCTTGTACATTTAGGACTTATGCAGTGGAATTGAGATAATTATAAAAATTGTTTAAACTCTATATTAATAATGCCTTGTGAATGCATGGAAATATTTAACACTGGTTTTTTTTTCCAGGTGATCCATGGCGGGGGACGTGGAAGGATTCTGTTCCTCCATCCATGACACCAGTGTCTCTGCTGGGTTCAGAGCACTGTATGAGGAGGGATTGCTTCTCGATGTCACTCTGGTTATTGAAGATCATCAGTTCCAGGCCCATAAAGCACTCTTGGCCACCCAGAGTGATTACTTCAGAATTATGTTTACTGCAGACATGAGGGAAAGAGATCAGAACAAAATTCATCTAAAAGGTCTCACTGCTACTGGTTTCAGCCACGTCCTTCAATTTATGTACTATGGAACTATAGAACTGAGTATGAATACTGTTCATGAGATTCTTCAGGCTGCCATGTATGTTCAACTTATAGAAGTGGTGAAGTTCTGCTGCTCTTTTCTATTAGCGAAAATCTGCTTAGAAAACTGTGCAGAAATTATGAGACTCTTAGATGATTTCGGTGTAAACATCGAGGGAGTCAGGGAGAAGTTGGACGCCTTTCTGCTAGACAACTTCGTGCCACTCATGTCCAGGCCTGACTTCCTGTCCTATCTGAGCTTTGAGAAGCTCATGTCGTATTTGGATAATGATCATCTGAGCAGGTTCCCAGAAATAGAGCTGTACGAGGCTGTGCAGTCTTGGCTGCGGCATGATAGAAGACGCTGGAGACATACCGATACCATCATTCAGAACATCAGGTTTTGTTTGATGACCCCATCCAGTGTTTTTGAGAAGGTTAGTGCATTTGAAAGCAATAGACAGGACTCATCATTTAGTTAAGGCAGTATGTCTTTATAGATAAGATTCCCAGACTTAAGAGACAAAAAAGGAATGAATAGTTTATAAGAGTAGTTTATGTATAAGAAGCCTGATTTGTTGTGCACTTAGGTTTTTTAAAATACGTTTTGTGGGTGAAAGATGAACCAGGTAGGTAGTAGAATAGTTTAATTTTAAAAGTACTTTTAAAGTTGAAGAGTAATTATTTGACGTAAAATATTACAAGTTTGCTTTAGCTTTTCACAAATTAAATCTGAACTGGGTCAAACTAGTTCTCTTTGTAAAATTACTTAGGAGTTATGTAATCAAGTAATACATGCTGAAATTGGCATTGAGAAAAGTTTTGCATGGTATACATTAATTAATTAATTAATACAGTTTCTTATTCCTCTGAAATGTAGTAAGGACACATAAAATAGCTCTTGAATACCAGTAGGTCCTATTGGTGATTGTCTTCCCTACTCTCACCTGTTTTTCCCTGTTTCACTGTGAATACTAACCAAATTTGACCATGAAAACATATGTTCTATGTCTAAAAACATCACTTTGGCATTTCTAAACAAGTAAACTATAAATCTTCTATCTGCACTGATCAAACATCTCTGTGCACATTTTACCATGTAAATAGTTCTCTCTTTTAAGTTTTTTTTTTTTTTTTTTTTTTAAGCAGAGACGGGGTCTCACTCTTGCTCAGGCTGGTCTTGAACTCCTGAGCTCAAATATATCCGGCTGTCTCGGCCTCCCAGAGTGCTAGGATTACAGGCGTGAGCCACCACGCCTGGCCAGTAGTTCTCTCTTAAAAGTAGTCTTTCTCCAGGCCGGGCGCGGTGGCTCACGCCTATAATCCTAGCACTCTGGGAGGCCGAGACAGCCGGATATATTTGAGCTCAGGAGTTCGAAACCAGCCTGAGTAAGAGCGAGACCCTGTCTCTACTAAAAATAGAAAGAAATTAATTGGACAGCTAAAAATATATAGAAAAAATTAGCCGG